TGTGTTGTGTGGACCGGATAGTATGACCGTTTATTTTGACGGAGAAAGAATTGAATTACCCCGACGCATGCAGACGAACTGACATTTTATTCGTTACGCACATCGCAGATGTAGCTAAATCACCCAAGAAAAGATTCCCATCTGAACATCTGAGCTGTACACTGCTCAGCGCAGCTCGCTGTCAGCGCATATGTGCACAGCGAGCTGAAGATGTGGAGAGAGGCATGGAGCGCGTTGCAGAACCAGAGCGCATGCGGGAAGGTTCCTCCCACTGAAGCGAGTGTTTTCCAAACCCTGTCTCTCAGAGAGACTTGTCACTTAGAAAATGTTCCCTGATTATGAAACTTTGGCTGAATAGTGCTTGTTCCTGTCCCCAATGTGGCGACGCATCCAGGAGCCATCTGAGGAGAAGTTCAGAATCTCACATCTTCTTCAGCTCAGAATTACAATTATGCACAAACCCATCAACCTGGTCTCACAGTAAGACTGGGTTGGGCCTGTTCAGGTTTACGCAGACAATCTTTACATAGAATTGACTTCCAGATATAAAATTAATTCAGTAAAATATAAAGCATTTTATTTAAATATCATTATTTTACAAGCACAGAGAGCCGCATCAGATGGATGGAAGAGCCGCGGGTTGCCGACCCCGGTATAGCCTATAAAATGACATGTTGAGGATGCAAACTCAATACATCTCTTTTATTGTGAGGTAATAATTTCTCAGAGTTTGCGGTTGCGGGCGGGAGTAGACATGCACGTTCCGGTTGCGGGCGGTAATGGTCAGAAATTCAGCGGGCAGGAGCGGGATGAAGAAAACAGTCTTGCGCAGGGCTCTACTGCTGCGTTTAAGTGTTTCAATTTTTTTTATGAATTCGATTAAAAATAAAGGCGCCCGGCCCGGCCCGTGTCCGAGGTAATTACATAGTCGTTGGCCCGAAGCCCGGCCCTAGGGCCGTCGGGCCGGGCCAACTCGAGGGCCTAGGGCTTCAGTGCAGGTCTCTAGTGAGACGGGCAGAAGGAACAGCAAGATGGAGGGAGGAAGATGATCTGAGGGAATGGGAGGGGGTGTTAATACTTATAAGGTCTGAAATATATGGAGGAGCGAGGTTGTGGATGGCTTTGAAGGTATGGAGGAGAATCTTGAAGATGGACCTGAATTCATCTGGAAGCCAGTGAAGCTGCTGGAGAACTGGGGGGACGTAGTGAAAGGAAGGGGTTCTGGTAATAATGCGGGCTGCTGAGTTCTGGACCAGTTGAAGTTTGTGAGGGAGTTTGTAAGGGAGACCAAAAAGAAGTAAATTGCAGTAATCGAGACGGGAGGTGACGAGACTGTGGACAAGAATGACAGCAGTGTGAGGGGTAAGGGAGTGGCAGAGACGGTTTATGGATCGAAGATGGAAATAGGCTGACCGAGTTATGTTATTGATGTGAGCATGAAAAGAAAGTGAGCTGTCAAGGATCACCCATAAAACTTACTGTTAATTATTATCTGAATTTGGAACATTGCTGTCATGTTTGTCATTTAAGACAGTGGACTAAGGTGCACACAGTATTTTCAAAAGGGCATTTGTGTTGGATCAACCAAGTTTTGTAATTCAATTCAGAAAATACAGATATAAGGTGAAACAGACAACAGTGTACAATATTGTTTTATGCACACAATTACATGTTTATAGTTTAAGGAAAACAGTCAAGTGTTATTTCATAAATTCACCTTTTTAATGAATGCTCTAGTTGCAGGTCTTACAGATACGCCTCATATCGTCAGTTTACATGGTGGATGCATGGCAGACTGGGGAGAAGAGTTATTCCTGCACGTGCAGCTCACAAAACAAGAAGTTTCTACCCAGAACCAAGTGGAATCTATACAGGTTTTAAGGAAGTGGATAGTGATGATACAGAAGTAGATGAATCATGGAGAGATTTCAACAACATTTAAACAGTTGAACATCTGAATCCATTCCATCAGGGGCACTTTCAGTGTTTTAACTTTTCAGTTTCAGTTATGTAGTGTTAAGCTAAGTAGTGTAGGAAACAAATGTTACCAGTTAAAAATAAAACATTTTGACAAAATGCAACCTGCAGTACAATGAATGTTTGTGTTGACATTAAATCTTTTTTATGCTTTTTAGAACATGTCATCACATTCCTAAAATTAAATTCAATGTTGATGTAAAAAATGACGTTGTGTACATCATATGTTTGTAATGACACTTGAACTGCTAGAAACGTGAGAACTGCTGTGTTTGAGCAATGATCAATGATCCGGGCAGTCTGTCTTGTGGCGCCATGACATGAGTTTGAGTCTCTCTCATGTCCATGTCCTGGTTTGAATCTGACGCAGAAGAGAGAACGTCTGCCACCATAGCCTTCATGTATTAATGGTCCTTCTAAACAGCCACTGGTCTTGCTCGGAATCTCCTGTGGACTTTGCTCCAGGAGATTTTGAACTTGGGTTCACCAACACTCTCACCATCTTGGTGTAATGTCACCAAATGGACTGATTTTGAGATCCTACAGTTCATATGCACGGCCAGAGCAAACAACCCTGTCTACTCACGGCCTGCTGTATTTTACCCTGAGTATGGCTAAGATAAAGACATGACACATAAGTGATCTTGTCCCACATTTCAGAGTTCAGAATCGGAGACTGTGTTCTGAGATGCTTGGCAACTTCTGAGATAACACCAGGCCTTAAAAAGAGCTTCACTCTCAGTCTCAGTAAGTCAGACAGACAGAGAGAAGCTCAGAACGGCCGTCTGAGCAAGCCTCTTTCACCAGAAGGATTTTGACATAGTCAAAACCTTAAGCTTTTGCACCTGCAAAGCCGAACAACAAGATAGTCTTTTCCTGCAGAAAAGCTAATTTGTTTAGACTCCTTAAGAGTCCAAGATGCGTGTTTTCCATCCATCTGGGTTGTCCCGAGACACATCTCTAGGACTGAAAGGACGGTACCTCGGTACTCTACAGCCCTCCGGTACCAGCGGTCATCCGACCCCCTCTGACTTTCGGATCCGTCAAGAGGGTGCCTCTATGGGTAACGTAGACACGCAGATAGTGTCTGTATGCAGTTTGATAAATAACAGCTTGTAGCGTACTTGCAAACCAAATTTCCTCCATCCAGGATTCAGCTTTCTCATGATACCGACTCTGAAATCCTTTATTCACACCTAGTTCTGGACATCCATCTCTTAGGTGAGACTGCCACTTGTAACTACAGCCTTTTGCACATGGGAGCTCCAAAGTCAACTGAGATCCCTCATTTTGCAGCTCTTTCACATCTTCAGGAGCAATCAATGAACCACACTTTAAACAATGCTGAAGTAGTTGTTTTACTGTTCCTCAAAAACTAGAAAAACTCTGTCTTCTTTGGTGGCAGTTGAAGCAAGTGATCCCTGGGAGCTCTGAGAAGGCTCTGATGAACTTAAAATGTATTCAGCATCAGGATTTTTGTGTAGTGGCTGACTGTTCTCACTACATTCATCGTCTGAGGAGAACAGACCCAGGGACTCAGTGTCCTCCTCTTCTTGCTGATCCAACTCACATTTCTCTGTGTAAGCATGTTCCATGGTAACAACTTGCTGCGCATGAGCTGGCCACTGTGCCGCTGCATCTGACGTGTCTTAATCGGTCTGAGTGGCAGCATCGGTAAAATTAGGAGAACACTGTATTGCTACACTTACTGCTCGTTTTACTAACAGGAGAGGTGAATGTTCAGCTTCATCCGTGACGAGTGGCGTGTCCGATGGTTCGCCCAGCGTGACAGAAGCAGCAGCTGAAGGAGCGGGCTGTCGGCTCAGGAAAGTGTCCAACGTCTCTTGTCTCTCTGAACGCGTTTAGTCTCCTTGTGTGGGAAAATGGTCGGTAAAGCATTTAGTTTCAGCCTTCTCTTATACTCAGCCACTCCGGAGAGCTCTTTAAGTAGTCGTGGTTGACTATAAGCCTCAAACGCATCAGGAGAGAAATGTTGGGAACACAGCTGCGTATATTTGGGAAGTTGTGTCTGTCCACAGGCATCTTCCTGCTGCTTTCTCGTCTTTTTGCCAGTGGGAAAGCTGTGTAAACTCACATCACTCCCCTTGTTGCCTTTTGACTGGAAATTACATCCAAAAGCAGCACAATGCGGCATTTTACTTAATTATTAATACGGTAAGCGCGTAAACACTAGCGTCAATAGCTATTCTTCCAAGAGCAACCACAATACGTCATCGCCCCCAGAGTGCATTGCGTGCAGACAACCTGGCGTCCTACGTATGTCAATAATGTACTAAATATTATAGATTTGTAAATAAACAGCAATATTGTGTGTGTTTCTAACAACATAGTTTGGTACAACAGAAAAATTTGTGGCTTATTAGGGCATGCACGTCCTCATCGCTGGAGTTCCTTTAAACAAAGGGCACTCCCGGAGCGTCCCCACAGAGCGTCCCTGGACAAATAAGACTTCTCAAGATGCACCAAACGCATGTGAATTGGATGGTTATGCCCCATGTCAACTCACCTTCCGGTCTCCTTCCCCGTGTGTGTGACATAATTTTCTCCATTCACATGGTTTATATTTAGGCAAAAACAAAAGAATAAACATTTCACAAGCACGCTGAAGGGGCTTTAAATATTTGTGGCTTAGAGAACATTTGTCTTTGTAATTATTGATGTGTTTAGGGATTGTTTGAACAAGTGTTAAGGTTAACTAACTGATAAAATCCAAGCAGTGTACACATGCTAAGCTAGGCTAATCCCAAGCATGACTCTAAGATGTGTGTATTAGTTATTAATGTATTTTTATGTTTTTCTGTATTTTGCAATTATGGCAATAAACATTTACAAAGATCTTCAGGTAAAAAAAAGCCAGCCTTGGGTCAAGATTCTTTTTTATTTAGGTTATAGCTACTACTACATATGTGCAGCCTACACATACTACTACTACTATTGCATACTACTACTACGTTTATACACTGTAGTGTAAAGCGCTTTGGAGTCCTCTGACTCTGAAAGGCGTTATACAAGTGGGGGTCATTTGGGGCAGGGTTGTGCCAAAATAACTAAAATATCTCTAAAACTAAATCTCTGTCATATTATGACATTTTGAGAGAGAGGAGAGGAAGCCGAAGAGTTTGATGTATAATATGTGCGTGGTATATAAAAAGTTGGGTCAAAAGCAGTTTAGGCTTGTTTTAGCACCCCCTAGTGGCCAAAACAAAAGTGCAACTTATCTCTTGCTGGGCGTTTGTCTTTTAACACCTTAATCTAACACCTGAAATGTCTCCTCAGCCTTCATTAGTTTCTAGAGGGCCGGTCCATCACTAAATCAAACAAATCAGCTGTGTTCTCGATGTAAAGCATGCAGGAAATGTGCTGAAGGCAGACTCCAGCTCTGGCAAATCAGCTCCACTTAAGTCTAATAGTGTCCGACTGGCATCTCTGAAATTGCAAGTGCAATATTGTGTCCATAGAAAGCAGTGTGACATGTCATTAACCTTGTAAAGGGGAATTCTAGCATATGCTGGCCCAAGAAATGATTTAAAGATTTTAAAAAGTAGCATAGTATGGCCTTAAAAGAGCAAAAAACTGTTACCAACATTTTCTGATATGTATTATTTTCCGAAATATAATATGTTAATCACAACACTCAATACAGGTTGCTGTGATGTTTTTGTCCTTTCACAAAAAAGAATGTTCCTGCAGCAATTCCGAAAAGTCCAAGAGTCACGGCAATCCCACAGAAGACAGCTGGACCACTGTCACTGATCTTCTTATGCTCTTCTCCTTCAAGGTCTGAATAAGAAGAAAATAATGGTTCATTATATTTTGATCCTGGTCAATTTAAGATAACAACCCATGATGTTAAGCTTTTTTTCTCACCCCAAAACCTGGTCTTTGGTTGCTCCAGAGCTGCGTGTTCCACCGTGCAGCTGTAGTTGTCTCCATCCTTTGGAACAAAGTTTAGATAGGAGAAAACATGAAACAACCCATCCGAATTAGATACAGTTTGAGTGAAAGGGTCTTCTGTTGAAATTATTTCATCATTCTTGGTCCATGTGATGTTGATCTCTGGGGGGAAGAAGTTGTTGATGAAGCAAATGAGGGTATTCTCTTTACGAACAACCACCTCATTTCTGGGGAAAATCACAATGTCTGGTGGGTCTGAAAATAAATTAAACACGTTTATTTTCAGTTTGACATAATTTCACGTAAACTGTTTTAAAAATAACGGCATGACAAACAAAAAAATAGGTTTTCTTACTTTTAGTCTTTATAACTGAAGTGTCTGGTTTCCATTCGCTTAAGTGTATCTTACAGTCCTGCTGGGCTGCTTTTACATATTCGAGAACATCTTCAAGACGTAAATATGTTGGTATTTTGCTTTCCCAAACAGCAGGGTCTTTTTTTAAGTTTACATAAACAAATTCTTCATCTAATGTCATATAATGCTGGGTATCACTTGAGTCAAAGCAACCCAAGACACCACAAATTGTGTGACTGCCTGAGAAAACAAGAACAGTTTATTTAAAACAAAATCTGATGTTACAACTGATGTCCACAGAGTCTGACTTACCTTCTGCACAGATGCAAAAAGCTCCAGAGACAAGAAGCATTAATTTCAAGTTCATTCTGTAGGTTTTCAGTACCTTGTTGTGGACCTGATCTTAGTTTTCAAGATTCAACAAGTGTGATACGAGTCAAGGCTGCCTGACTTAATCCTTCCTCATTTTTGTTCACCAGCAAAAACACGCTGGCAGAAAAAAAGGGGAATTAAAAATACAATTGAACTTCCTTCATCTAGATCCAACAATAACAACCAATGAATTCATGGTGCATCACAGAAAAGTTTCCATTTGCTGTTTAGACATTTGATGTAAATGACCTTCAGATGTGTGAAGCTACAGCTTATGAGCCTGTCATGAGGAAACAATAATGTGCCATTTTACCAATACTGCTTTTAAAGAATTTTGATTGCCTTTTCTTGTAATTTTATACTTGTTTTGTATTTAATGTATTCATATTTTATGGGCATTGATTGCTTTGTTCAGTGCAGAAAAAGAGAAGACTCCATGACTTTTACAACTCATAAGCTTACAATAATCATATGTGATGAATGAACAAGATGTTTAAATGAAATGTTTGAATAGTCTGATTTCCCAAAGTTGGGCAGAAATCATAACAAAGTAGTTTATTAAAACAGGATTTACTTCCCGATTAATTCAGTTTCCAGCTGAAGCCTGATTCGGCCAAATCGGGAAAGCAGCCTCTTTTGAAACAATCTCCTTTGCCTTAAGTCAAAACCTCTCTGCAGTGCTGTGGCTGATACCAGACAACCGGCTCTCAGAGCCAAACAAACATCAACCTTAGACGCAAATAAGCATTCCAGCTTTCGGCCTTCACCTCGAGGGATCTCATACTGGACGGTCCTATCAGAGCTATCTATGGGTCCCTGATATCAGAGTTCACTCCACCGGCAGTGACCATCGACCCCCCGGATCAAACCTTCACGTCAAGGGTGCGTAGACTTGGCACAACAGATTGTATCTTATGCAATTTTTAATAAACAACTCTAGATCAAATGTGCCAGAGACAAGGCCCGCAGGCCAGATGTGGCCCGCAGTAGAGGGCTGCATCGGGATTGGGTCCCGCTGGACCCAACACAAATCTTGCGGGGGCGGGCGGTGTGAACTTTGCGGCGGGCAGGAACGGTCAGCTAAAAGAAACAGTGCGGGATCGGGATGAGTATGATGGAGTCGGCAACTGATGTTGAAAAGAAGCTGAAACAAGGTCTTTATGACACAAAAACCAAAGCTAGGCAAGTCAGACATTTGGAGGAGTTTCTCCGATTGTGTTACAGTTTTTTTCGATTGCTAAAACTCAAAAATCAAAAATGAGGCACGAATTTCACAACCTCTACTTCAATTCCCAATCACCTGACTCCATTTATCACTACTTAAGATTGCCTTATCATATTAGCTCTCTGATTGTCCTCCTTTACACTCTGATGCCAATTTCACATCACCATGCTGTCAAAACACAGCACACAATTTTCATGTTTACACGCACTTGTCGAACAAACTCTCAAAGCTTCAATCAACAACACACAAATATTCAAATCTCTAAACTCTCATGTCTGGTGAGCAATTTGCAATCAGGGACTGCAGCATAAAAGCAAGTTTCCACAAGGCTACCCAGGTGTATGTGTGGTTTCAGGACCACCCACGGTTTTCCATTTTATACCTTCCACCTTATTCCCCCTTCCTCAATTCCACTGAGGAGTTTTTCTCAGCCTGGAGGTGGAAGGTGTACGAAAGGAATCCACAGAGCCAGGTCCCACTGCTTCAAGCCATGGAGGAGGCTTGTAGAGATGTGGCCTTTGAGGCCTGTCAGGGCTTCATGAGGCATTCGAGGTGGTACTTCCAGCGCTGTTAGGACCAGGAGGACATCGCCTGTGATGCTGATGAGGCCCTCTGGCCAGACAGAGACCAGAGGCATGATGCCCCATATTATGCTTGAATGGGAGAGGGGGTGGAGGTGGTTACTGTAACTGTAAAAAAAAAATGTTTTGTCACAAAATTTGTGGGGTGGGGTGGCCAGGGGTGAGGGGGGGTGGGGTGAGGGGTGGGGGTGGGGGTGGGGGGTGAGGAGGGGTAACTGTAAAAATAAAATGTTTTGTCTCAAAATCTGTGGGGAGGGGGTGGCCGGGGGTGGGGGGGTGGGGGTGGGGGTGGTGGACTGTAAAAATAAAATGTTTTGTCTCAAAATTTGTGTGATGTCTAATGTTTGTCCCAGAGAAAAGTGAGCACTGTCATACATTCAGTGTGTAATTCATTGTGTTCCATTTAGACAATTGTGTTTTTCAGTTTTGCTCTTCAGTGTTCTTTCCATGCTTGGTAGTGTTCACCCAAAGGCTACTTGTGTTTAAGCAATGAATGGTATGTGTGTGTCATGTGAAAATGTGGCTGTGTTTACCAAATGAAAACATGTGTTCCATTTTGGGAACATGTTACGATATGTGGTGGCAGGGTTTTGTTGCAAAGGGAAGCCACGGTTTAGCAATTTGTGTGTTATGTTTGGGGTTTTGTGTGTGCAGTTTTGAAAGAAACGTACAGTTTTGAAAAACGTGTTTTAGCAATAAAAAAAACTGTAATATTTCTCATTCAGGTCTCAGAAAAGCGACCTCGATCACTGCCTGATTACAGAGGAGAATAGAATATGAAACGGCCTTGATTTCATTAACCCTTTAAGCACCAGACAGTAGCTCCTTTATGCTTTTTTAAGAATTTTATAGTTTAAGTAGCGAGGAGTTATTTGAAATTGCATGCGCCAGGCGTCACCGGTGATCCTGGTGACGCATCGGTGTTAAAGGGTTAAAAACTAAATGAAAACAAAGTGCGTCAATCCTGACCAATGTGATAAAAGACGTGTAGGATCCGATCAATTTGTTTTTCCCTCGTTTACCGTCACAGAGATAACGCCGCAGTGCGCGGCTCTGGTGGTAATCAAGTTAAATTTGATCTCTTTCCAACAATTTTCACAAGAAAACAAAACGGTTAAAAGCAGGGCGTGTGTAGCGTTGACCGGATAGTTCCCGTATTTGACCGTTTATTTTGACGGAGAAAGAATAGAAAGAATTACCCCGACGCATGCAGACGAACTGACATTTTATTTGTTACGCACATCGCAGATGTAGCTAAATCACCCAAGAAAAAATTCCCATCTGAATATCTGAGCTGGACACTGCTCAGCGCAGCTCACTGTCAGCGCGTACGTAAGGTGCACAGCGAGCTGAAGATGTGGAGAAGGGCTTGGAGCGCGTCGCAGAACCAGAGCGCATGCAGGAAGATTCCTCCAACTGAAGCAAGTGTTTTCCAAACCCTGTCTCTCAGAGAGACTTGTCACTTAGAAAATGTTCCCTGATTATGAAACTTTGGTTGAATAGTGCTTGTTCCTGTCTCCAATGTGGCGACGCATCCACGAGCCGTCTGAGGAGGGTCCCAGAGTAGTTTTTTGTTGTGGTTTTAAGGAGGCTTTAGAATAGGTTATCGAGCGTGCGTGGATCAGCGGATGGACGAAAGTGGCAGCCAAGATGTATTTGCCAAACCCAAAATGTTTGTTTTTTCGGACTGACCTATATTTGTTCGGAGTAATCTTTCGGTGCTTGATCAGTGTCAGAGAAAGCCGATGAGCTCATTAGTAGAATGTATATTAGCAGAGCTTTAGCCAACCCTGCCACGGTCAGGGGTTTTCTGTCCTATGATTGGACTATAAGAGAGAAGCTATCACCACCATGGTTTGCTCACAAAACACATCCTCAGAGATCTGTGCACATTGATTATTTTTTGTTGTTTGTTTGTTTTGCACCCACAATGGCTGATGGAGAAGTAGAAATTTATTCAGTAAAATGAATTAGTAAAACAGGGTTCCACAGTGGCTCAGTGGTTAGTGCTGTTGCCTTGCAGCAAGACGATCTTGGGTTCAAATCCCAACCTTTCTGCATGGAGTTTGCACGTTCTCCCTGTTCATGCGTGGGTTCTCTCCAGGCACTCCAGCTTACTCCCACAGTACCAAAATCGTGACTGTCAGTTTTATTCTATTTTTAATCTTATTATTCATGTTATATGTAGCACATTAGTACCAAAGCAAGTTCCTAGTTTGTGAATTGTTTGTTCACTGACAATGGCAATAAACCTTTTCTGATTCTGATTCTGATTCTTTGACGGTGTGTCGCACCCCATAGACTGATTACCATAGGTGTCATGAGATGCATTGCTCTGATTAGAATAGAATAGAACAGAATAAACTTTATTAATCTCACAGTGGGTAGGCAGCACACACACTTAGAAAAAGGAAGAAGAAAATAATTTGATTACAGGTAAACAAACAAAGGCAGTAAACTATTATTGTAACCTTCAACCACTAAAAACAACAAATAAAAAGGAAAATTGTGTTTCCAGAACTATGCAGCATAAGGGACACAGACTAATGTAAATCCAGTATTGCACAAGCATTGAACACATATTAATGCTATTATGTACCAGGAGAATGCCAGTACCAGTATTACACTCTTACTGCAGAGGGGATGAATGACCTATGGTAGCGTTCTGTTTTACAATCCTGGATGCCTCAGAGTGCCAATGAAGGAGCTGTCCATGGTCTCCACAGTGGAATGCAATGGGTGGGAGAGGTTTTCTAAGATGGAGCTTATGTCACACATCTCCTCAACTGTCCTAGCTGGCTGCCCAGAACTGAAATAGCTTGTTTGATTGGTGACTTTAATTTTTTGATTAGTGCTAGCACTGTAATTGCATGTGGAGACCGTTACAAAGACAGCCGAAGATTCTGCCCCACCACTTGTTTCAGTAGGTTGTGTTCAGACTATATATTTAGATATATGGGATGGCTTGCCAGGCAATAAATCCTCAGGTCTAGCAAGCATTTCCTGTGTAAAATATGACAGAAACATATTTGTATTAAAGCAGTCAATATGCCAATTTGTCATTTAAACAACTCTACATTTCCTCTGTCCTCACATGATTTAAATTTACATGTTATTTATTAAGCCATAAGACATAGGATCCCATAGGAAATATAAAATCAACCTTATGGATCTGTGGGTTCTGTTTAACCAGAAGATTGGAACTTTTTATTGCAGGGATTAGAAAACAGCTACGTATTAATTCAGAGACAACAGACGAGAAAGAGTCAAGTTTAAAGGTTTAAAGATTTATTACTAAACAAATTAAAACTAGACTAACTTTAACACTAAATGTATGGTGTAACTTAGGTGAATGAGACGGAGAATAGTGTAATGTGGAATGTTGCTCAGAACCAGCAAATCCAAAGAAGTGATTAGTTCTGATGGGAAATGAAGGTGATGTCTTCGCGCTAAGCTTTGGTTAGGAGATTTATAAACACATTCAACACCATTTGTCAGTCTACGTACCCTTAGCGGAAGTCCCCGTCTAGATAAGGAGGTGTAAAGGTCCAGCTTGACCTTGTGGAGCCGAAGCCTGTAGAAGCAGCCGCGGCAGCCGACCACCAGTCTTGAGATACTCCCGGGTCATTACAGTTTTGTTGGCATCTAGTGAGACCCAAACCTGGGTTGTGATGGTTCAGCTTTTATTCTGAAAGGAACCGTTGCAGCAGTTGGAACAGCAACAGATTTTATCCAGTGTAGTGAACCTGATTAGGCTCTTTTAATTATGTAGAGTAATGGTTTATGCTCTTTTATGAAAGAGGAACCATCCTACATATTTTATAGTTTTAAGAAGACTCAAAGGTTGTTTTCATCGATAAACTGTCGATAATATCCGTGGGTCTGTGTTTCAGTTCAATGAAGAGACAAGTATGAAAGTTAAAAGATTTAATTCTTTAAATTAAACTAATGATTTTGAAATGACACGCATAGGAACAACAATCAACATTGGCAACTTTGTTGAACAATCTTTAACAGTTGATGTTGTAAACTTGCTCAAATAGACCTTGTGTTGAATGTGCTGAAGATTGAGAGTGATGTGATGTGATTATGGATGCGTGTGTGCAAAATGTAGTGAAAATTGAGGATAAGGTGAGATGAATGCGTGTGTGCGTCTGATTTTGCTTCAGGAAGAAACAGGTGTCTGAGTGAAAAGTGATGGTTTGAATAAACTTAGGTTCTGTTGGAAAAGATGCATCAAACGCTATCTCTCGTGGACTGCCTCACCGTATTCGGACCCTCTTTTAGACCCGGGACGTCAAAGGATGATGTTTCATCCAGGGGTGACACCTCGGCTGGCAGAGAAGACGAAGGTGTGCTGCGACCCTGTCCGGAGATGACCTCGGTACACGTGATGATGAAGCGTTTGCAGATGCGCTTTTGCTACGTCCCCTTTTTCAGTGGGGCCTGTAAGTACTTGTGGTTATTGTATTTTATTTTTATTTTTGGCATACTCATTGTGGAGCGGCAGAGCAGAAGAAACCTGCCGGCGAGTGAGAACCAGGAAGAGCGTCTCGTCTCCATGGCGACGTCGGGGATTCCCTCAAAATGAACGTGCGTCATCCAGGAACCCTGGTTGAAGTGCGGAGAGTCCAGCTGCATGAGATAAGGACTGATTGTTTCAGCTGTGCCGGAGAGGATAAAGACGACGTGGGATCAGCTGTTCGAGGAGCAACTCTTACCCATGGGTTGTCTCCCTGCTCCTCACTCCCGTTGAGTTCCGTGTCTGATTGTAATCTAATAGAGTGTGCGTGTTTTAGAGGTCCTACGCTAGACAGACGGTGGTTATAGTTTCGTTTATTTGATTTTTTTATCTTGATCCAGAAGTGTAGAACACCAGCCTTTAGTTGTAAAGTTGTAGAGGTTCCAGCTAAACCAGAAAGCTTGGTATATTTTGTTGTATTTTATTCCTGGGGCTGGTTCCCCAGCCCTATTCCCTTTGCGTAACTGGTATTATCCTGTGAGGCGGTTATATCCCCTCCTTTTATGTTATTAAAAGATATTGTTATTTAACAGCCCTATGACTCCTCCCACTCCTTTAACCTTCATTTAATTACCTGTGCCCGGATCCTAAACTTGAGTCGTAACAGCTTTCTTAAGTTTAATTACTCAGAAAATCAAAGACTCTGGACGAGTCTGCGTTAGCGGTTACAATTCAGCGATTCCTGTCTGGCTTGGCAGGAGTAGCGTGAGAGGGGGGGGGGACAGGAGCCGCAGGCTCCCTTCCCGGGTGCGTGTTCAACACGTCCGAACTCTCTCGTTGACAAACTCGAACTGAATCATGAACTGAAAACTTACCAAAAGCCTTTCTCTTCTCAAAGCAAAACTTGTGCGTCAGAGCAGATGTGTTTTGGAGTTTACTGTGAGAGTTTGTGTGTGTGTGTGAGTGTTTGAGTGTGTGAAGGTCACCACTAAAACATCTTCAAACATTATTTAATTAAGTATGGATTCATTATAGTTATGATTACCCAAAGTATAATAATCATTCATTTGATTAAAACACATTTATAATGAGCAAAGTAATAATACTTATCATTTAACAACTTAAAATAAAAGAAAGGAAGTTGTTATGTTATGACTAGCTTTTCCATGGGAACACATCTTCTGGGACTGCAGGTGTTCAGATGTTATGGTTTCCAGCAGACTTTTGCAGACTTCCTGTCTGCAAAGGTCTCACTCTGTGGGTGAAAGTTCTCAGCGACCCAGCTCTTGACCCAGCTGAGTTAAACGAAACCTTTGGCACAGAAAACCCATATTTCCTCACGTTACACCAGCTTGTCGTTGGTTCTTTTGGCTGAAGAGGAATTACGGATTGGCCACTCCGACACTTCTCTAGAACGCTTTGAACTGGCGTTAAAGATGACGTGGGCATAGTTTTATACTTCAGATGTTTTGGTTTATGGTCGAATGAAAAGATGACAGATTTACCAAACACCACCAAAACCCCGCCTCTGTCAGATCTGGCAGATTCTGATTGGATCAGTAAAGCAATGTGTAATGTCTTAACGCTACGTGAGATCAGTCCTAGTGGAAACATTTATAGTCATATTACTTATTATATTTTATAAGATTATAATAAAGTAATTAATATTTTGATTTCACAGATTGGTCACATCTTATTATTGACTAACACTTTGCTTGATTAGCTTTATTAAAATAGAGTTCTTTGATTTATTAAAAGGAGAGAGTCAATTCTTCATTCTTCTCTTGAGCTGGAAAGAAGCAGTTTATAACAAATGCATGAGACCTTGAGGCCATATCTCATGCAGACTAGTCCTGTGTCAGAGGAGAGGGGGAAATGACTTTTGGTGGAAAACAGTCATTTCATTCCGTTACAGATGGCTTGCCAGGCAATAAATCTTCAGGTCTAGCAAGCATTTCCTGTGTAAAATATGACAGAAACATATTTGTATTAAAGCAGTCAATATGCCAATTTGCCATTTAAACGACTCTACATTTCCTCTGTCCTCACCGTGGCAGGCGTTGTATGTGGCTGATGTTTTTTGTAATAGATGAATCCAGAGCTCAGCACAATCAGACCAACCATGAGTACACACAGCCCAAAAGCTATTGGAGTCATGTCTTCTGAGAGAAGGGAGTCGTCTAAAACAGTGAGATGCTGTAAATAGTATGAAAACACATTGTGGATTTTCTCTGAATCACTATAGCAAACTCACCCCAGTCGACAAGTTTTGGTTCAGAGAGGCTAAAATGTTCAACCATGCAGGTGATTCTTTCTCCTGAAGTTGGGAAGTACTTCAGATATGAGTGGAACTGGTAGTACAAATCCCCATCATACATCACACTTGAGTAACTGACCCCTTCAGTCACTTCCTGTCCATTTCTCAGCCAGGTCAGCTGGATTTGCTTTGGGTAAAAGTCATAGGCACTGCAAACGAATTTAGCTCGGTGTTCACCATCAGACAGTTTCACCAAGTTTAATTTCATGGTGGGCGGTGTTGTGAGATTTCCTGTGAATTTAAAAGAATCATGATTTCTACTATATAATTTTCTGTTCTAGCTAACATTTAGTTTTTATCAATTTGTCAGATATCCTCTGCTGTACGTATCACTGATGCGACTCAGTAAAAATGTCAGTATAATAAAGGATGAATGCAAAAAAACAACAACAAAAGGACGAAAGAGAAAAATGTTCCTACCTATGTATTGGATGATGTTCACTAACTTTTCACACATTGTTGGTTCAGCTAGTCTTAGAGACTTTTCAAAAGGATCATTAGTTATTTTTTTTGCAGCTCCTTTAGAATATTTAGTGAATCCAATCCAGTTGCCTCTTGTGCTGTTGAACTCCACCATATTTTGCTTGTTAAAACTTAACATAATTGTGTGCTCACATTCTTCTAAGTGGGAACCCTTAAATGTGTAACATAATTTGGCCTGATAAAAATCTTCATCTGAAAAATCTGTAAAAGTAGAGAAATGCATGAATGTAAAATGATTATTCTTTTACTTCACAAAAAACTTGAGAAATAATCTAACTCACCAGCACAGATGAAGGAAAGCACCAAACTCAAATAAAAAACACAAACAAGCATGTTTCCTCCTGCGTTGCATAAACCAGAATGAAACTTGTCTGACATGCAGCTTTTGTGTTTTCACAGCAATGAGGAAATTAATCATTCTGTAGGCATGTTGCAACACAAAGCAATGCACCTACATTTGTCTGTTTTAACCCACTCAGGCTCAAAATAAGTTTTGATAAAAGGACAAACAACTAAGTCCTTTAGGGGGTACTTCTGAGTTAAAAAATGCTCATGAAATTTGTATGTGGAGTAACCATCATTTCCCTGGTTAGAAAACATTTGCAGTAAAATGAGTCTGCTGTTCGTGACACCAAACCATAAAATAAACGGAAGTGGGAAAACTTTTTATTGTTAATTTGACAAAATTGGGTTCTGTTCCTGTTGCAGTCTGTTTCACAAACAGCTGTTCTTCTAGTGACTCTTTGTGAAAAGGGGAAATAGAAAATAACAGAAATAGAAAAACAGAGAACAAAAATGTGTTTTGTTTGGGGTTACTAACAAAGAAATGGCTCGCAATCGGTAATTTAACTTTCGTATATTTGAACTTTCCCAATTAACTGTAAAATATATGTATTTGTTTTACAGCCTCTTACACATACGTGTCTTAAAAGACTGAATACATGGGTCCATGACATTATTATTAACATAAGCAGTGTTTGCAAAAGCCTTTGAGCCACGCCTGTAAAACTGGCAGATGTGAGTGTCTCACGCAGGACATTTTTGAACCATGTAGGACATTGTCCTCACAGGCTTCAGATTTGCATCTAAGAGTGAAGGGAACTTAACTCTCAACCCTTTCCGGTCAGCTCATGGGTCCACGAAAGAACAAAAAAAATGAATTCAAGTCAACTAAAGAGCTATTTTCTAATCCTCTTTGCCTTATGCCTTGGATCGCACATATGTTATACTGCTATGAAAAGTAATGATGGGTGTTTCGACCACGCCAGTCACATACTTTGAGATTTATCAGCTCCTTACTATCTGCTGGTTCCGAAGCAGGCAGTGCCCTCTGATATTCCCCTGTCACATGCAGACTTTGTATCGGCTATGAGGGATCGATTGGAGGTGGCCTTTGCCAACACGAGGCAAAATGCAGCAGTGGCCCATGAGAAACAAAAACTTTATCACGACACCAGTACCCTCCATCAGCCATACTCGACGGGGGATCTTGTGTGGCTTCATAACCCTCGGGAGGATAGGAAGAAACTGGCTCCCCATTGGAGGGGTCCCTTCAAGGTCTTAAGCCTGGTTTATGCTTCTCCGTCAGCTCCGCAAGGGACAGACACGCACGGATTGACGGAAGCATTTTGCTCTCATACTTCTCCGTCTCCTGGAGAGTGTTGCAAAGCAATTGCCCGGCAGGACCACAGAGGGCGTGGAGCTGTTCTGTGGTATCCTGTCATGTATCGGTCCAAGATAGTGTGTTTATACTGTGTTTTTTGTGTATATAAGAGACTTTTAACACGGACATATTTGTCTCTCATTCTCCCACCGCTTCATGTGCTCCCCACCTCTAAACCCACGTTTCCTGTCATTTCCGTCCACAAATAAAATGCTTGCTGCGCATCTTTTCACTCCTCCAGTCACGGGAGAATGAAACGTTCATATTTTTAGAGTTTTTTCGCGAGGCATTCTTCAAGCTTCTCCGTGTCTGCTGCTAGTTAAACTCGGCTCTCTTTGCAATGGCGGCGCTGTAAACAACAGCGGCGTCCTGACCAATCACAAGCTTGCGTAATCCGTTTCGTTCGACGGATGTTTAAAAAAGTGGGCTCGACTCCGTACGTACTTGCATGCCTGCCGGATCCCTACGCAAGGACGGATAATGGCGTTGCGTGTCTCCGCACTGACGCAGACGGAGAAGCATAAATCAGGCTTTAGGTGTGTTGGACTCAGAAGGGGTAACAGGTCATGTGTATCGCATCGGTGACCTCCTCATTGATGGAGCCCCCCCCCCCCAAGTGGTTCATTACGATCGGTTGAAACCATACACCTTAGGTTTGATTCCTGTCCCACCCTCAGGGGTCCGTCGGTGTCCCACGTTGGACGCTTCCTCGCGGCTCGGGAACGAGATGACAGAGGTGATGGGGGCTGGGTCATTTCGGACTGTTTCATTTGCGGGAAGGGCTGTTCGACCATCGGGTTGGTTTAAGAACTTTGTCACTTATTATTGACTGTTGTAGGGGAAAAAAAACTTTGGGTTTTGAGGTTGTTTTTTTTCTGGTGATGGGCCCTTGTTGGAGGATTTGTGTATGATGTTTTGTTGTGAGTTGTTATGCTTTATTGCAGTTGATGGGGGTCGTTGTTTATGATGTTGTTTTGACTTGTTATTATTATTATTGTTCTTTTTTTTCTCTCCTCTCCTCTCTCTTTTCATATTTTTTTTTGTTGTTGTTTGAAAACGTGGACTTTTTTGTGTGGGGGGAGACATGTAACCCACTTTTGTGGGACTTTTATTTTGAAGGTGCTGCTGACAGGATGTGATGTTTGAAAAGAGAGAAAAAATACAGAAGTTGGAGCGGAGTTGTTAATGGTGCCGTTAAATAAAGTGACCCTGAGAGTTCATGGTAATCAACCTTTTGTTGAGCAACCCCAATCCTATATCTTCTCCTGTCTCTTTCTGGAAGGCTCAGTTACATTTACAATCCCTGAATAAAACAAAGAATCCTAGAATCTTCTGATTAAACACAGTAATGACCAAGCAGGTTGATATTCTATATTTAGATAGAGTATCACAACTTATTGGTCATAAGTAGAGGTAATATATATTGAGCTCTTAAAGTACTCAATTTATCAAACCCTACAACAAGCATCAGACTGGTGGAGTTTGAAAATTCAGCACTCCAGCATGAGGAGAGACAGGAGGCTGTGTCCGTTTCAAACCCAACAAAAAGTTTCTAAAACTACAAATTATTAATAAAGTGTTGATTTTGATTTAGCTTCTGGCTGGCTCATCATTATGTAAGTGGTATTTTTTAATAAATTGTCTATAAGTTGTAAAGGTATTCAATAAAATGTAATATTCCATAAAAATGGATTATCAATATTATTGAACCATTGACGTTCAAATGATGATGAAAATAAGTACTTAAGGTATGCCAGGAAACCAACACTCATCAATAATTTCACACAGAGGCAAAAATATAGTTTATAAAATTCTATTTATTACTATATTGGTACGACAAATGATCACACAAGATAAATGATTGTAAATGATTATTTAAGGTAATATCAACTGAGATAATAACCAAACTTTATTGAAAGATGATTTAAGTTGTTATTAAAAGTCTAATTAAGTGTGGTAGAAAAGAATGTGATATCTGTGTGCGCCAATGTGAAGAGCCCACAATACCAGTGTGGTGGGAGTTCTCGGGAGATCCGGGCGGCAAGCGAAGCCATCTCGACAAAGCGAATGATCGTAGGTCCCCTCTGAATACGCACAGCTAGTCTGTGAGATACTCCCCTGGGTGACTGGCGGGTCGTTTTGCATCTGATGGAGGATAAACAAAATAGTTTGGTTCTGAAAAAGGATGTTTCTTTGCCACTGAAACTATTCCTTTGAAAGACCTGGTCTGATCCTCCAGCAACATTAATTTAACATGAAGGCTGGAACACCTTGACTTGAACTGAAGTTTCAGTTGGTGTGCTATACTTTTTAGGGTTCATGTTGGACCAATCAGAAGCCAGAAACCCTCAGATGTCACCACTTTTTCCAAGAATCTCAAAAAGGCTTTTTTTCAATTAATATGTGAAGTAAATGTGATATAACAGTCATTTGTTAATATACTGATATTAATATGTGACATAATTGACAATAAAATCATTATTAAATCAGCATGTAGATACATTTGGTGCATTTAAGATGAATATATAGTGCATTTCAGTTATTATTACAGTTATTTTTGATTTGTTCATTACTTTCAAATAATCAAGGCTTGTTAAAATCACTTTAGATAAAACTTTCATTGTACAAAACACTATATAATTGTAAGTAACCTATAAAGGGAGGAAATCATTGTATGCAACAAAATAAGATTCAAATTTTAAAGTTAAGAGTTCTGTCTTCTGTCTGGAGTCTTCTTGTGACTTGAAGCACAGATTTTCGGACTATACCTCCTGGTGAAAAGGCTAGAGATGGTAAACAGGACACATGTTTTGGTATGGGAAAGCACCAAAGCACACAGTAAATAAGTAAGTAAGTAAAACTTTATTTATATGGCACTTTTCACAGATAAAATCACAAAGTGCTTCACAACGTACCTAAAAAGGCAAAACAGGACAGGAGCACAAGGTCAACTTACATAAAAGCTTGTCTAAATAAAAGTGTCTTCAGCTGCTTTTCAAAAGAATCAACAGAGTCGGCCACACGAAGAACCAAGGGCAGGGCGTTCCAAAGTCTGGGAGCTACAGCTTGAAAGGACAGGTCCCCTCTAGTTTTAAATCTGGTCTTAGGGACCTTCAGTAGGTTTTGACCTGAGGACCGTAGAGTGCGGCCAGAAGAGTGAGGGATTAAAAGGTCTGATAAATATTGTGGAGCTTGTCCATTAAGAGCTTTAAAAGTCAAAACTAAAATTTTAAAATCAATTCTAAACTTGACCGGTAGCCAATGTAAAGAAGATAAAACCGGTGTTATGTGAGCCCTTCTATTGGTTCCTGTTAAAAGCCTTGCTGCAGCGTTCTGGACCAACTGGAGATGACTGACATCTGATTTGTTAAAACAAGTAAAGATAGTGTTGGGGTTATCTGGGTAGCGAACAATTAGTAAGCTCCTACTTACTTTTGGATTCTTCAATAAATTCTGTAAATATGGGAATATTTACTGAGTTTTTAATTAATTAAGATACAATTAAGTATATACGGGGCACCATCCCCTTCAACCAGGGAAAAATTGAATCCAAAACTCTTATCAGTCTTTCTTGAAGTTCGTAGAATCCTTGGAGCAGAAACTTCAATTGACACAACAAATCTACTGGAGGCAAAAATCTGAATTTTATAACATTTAATTAAACAATTTGTCAAATGAATAAACAATGAAATAAATGAATAATAACCATGTGATAT